TTTTTCCATCCGCAAACAGGAATACCCTTAAAACCACGTGTATTCAATGTGTTTCTAAACATCCTGTGTGCACCCCAGGAAGTGGCCTCCTATGCCCCGAAAGAAATAGTTCCTGTCAAAAACCTTTAATATTTTACAAAGTACATAAAATATCCTAGGCACAGATACCAAAAATGTAAAAATAGAATAAGGGAAATTAAAAAATTTCTCACAATAAAAAAAATTTTCTTTATTATGTATGGAACTACAATTGACTAAGTTCATTTTGATTGGTCAATTACCGGTGTGATACCTTGAAGGACCTTTGAAGTTGTCAGATTTTTTTCATTTTTGCACCTGAGATTTCTAAAATAACTGTCACTAACATCCTGAAGTCTGGGGATCTAATTCCCATTATTGCTGGAGATACGATGCATTTATCTCCCTTACTCCAGAGCAGTCAAGAATACACACTGAGCACTCTGACAGAAGTTTTTTGTGCATATCTTGAAGCAGAATTTCATCCTTAATAGACTAAGCCTGGCAACCAATTTTGTATCTGTGGAGAGTATATGCACTGTTCTTCACAACAAACAAAAAATAATTCACAAGTCTGAGACCATTATGCAATTATTACATAACAAAATTGCATTTTACCCTCCTAAGAATGATAGAATTTACAGAAATTGTTAAATATTAGGCTGATAATAAAATCTGCATCTGGTCAATTTATGTTCCAAATAAAGCCTAGGTACTTGTCTACAACCTGCTATGCAGAAGTTTATCAAAAAGCTGTGTTGTAACACAGGGCAGTCCAAATGATATCAGCATCTGGGGAGGTTCTGGACAGCTCTGACACTCCATTAAACTTGCTTTGATGATAAGAAAATGGAGAAAACAATTCAGATGTAATTTATTGTTGTGATTTATGTAACTGGCGTTCTCTGCAGACACAAATTAGCCATGAAATTCCAATTGAACATACATAATTATCCTCTTTTCATTGAATTACTCAGGAATTTCAAAGGTGTTTGATGAATTTGCATGATTAATTCAAGATTACAGCTTTTTGTTTCACCAAATTTACATAAAAATTCAACATTTAAATTTAAAAATATAAATCTTAAACATTTTTATGAGTCCTAACACTTTTAAATGTGAATAAATGAAACAAAGAAACTAATATCAAGCCATCCTCCATGATTCTTGGAGGTGGGTGGGTGTACAAAAACTGCTGATAAAATTTATAGGAAATGACAAAAGAAGAACAGGGCACTTTATTAGCTGAATTATGGTTATTCTGATATTTTGATTGTGTAAATATGTCAAATTTCTTCATCACTTTAATTTGTAATTTTTTAATATTTCAGTACATTAATGTGCTTAACAAATCATGCTAAAATAAACATCCTGACTGAGACTTAATTTAAAAGAGAGGGTCAACACCTACATAAAAGTGGTAAAATGACAAAAAACATTCTCCGGCAATCTGAAAAATCTTGAATGTCAGCTACGATCATCAAGTATTTTTTTAAGAAAAATGTTTTATGGTAGATAGTTCCTACAAATCTAAGAGTCATGCAGTAATCTTATTAAAAATATTGCATCAAGATAACACAAGTTTTTGTTTCTTTTTATAAATCTTTGTAACAAGTTAAAAAAATCTCTGTTTTCAACGGAATGACATAAATATGCATTTTTAGTACAATACAGACTATTAAAGCAGATGGTGCAGATCCATTCATCCCTTGGGAGTAATGAATGGACATGCATCCAGTTAAAGATTATAATTAATGAGTTCAATGTATAGGAAGACTAGCTGTCTCAATCATTTCTGTTAGAGCATCTCTGATCAAGCAGCTCTTATCTGTATCCTTTGGGAATTGCACAGAGAAAAACTGCTTGTTAGTTTATAGCATATGTCATTTGATGGCCAGCGTTTTATTTTCAAAATTAATTTGGCATAGATTAAATTGTTAAGACTTTTTTGATATTCTTTAATATGATATTTTTATTTAATTTTTTGAAAATATCAAATAAATGTGAAAGATGGGGGGGGGGGGGCTTCAGATGGGCATTTGTCAAGGTCTAACACAACCAGTTGAGAAATTTATTATAATTAGTGCCTGCACTACAGGAAATGTATAAACATCAAATATTATAAAGGAATGGAAAAATCATGGAAATCTTTGAATTAAGGTTGACATGATTTTCTTACACCCTAAACTGTTTATGATAATTGAACAATATTTGATGGGCGTATCATGCTGTGGCGGGGCACTTTATTTATTTATTTATTTTTTTTTATTGACTTAGTCATTTCAGTTTCATGTCTAAGGTTTGAGACAAAGAATCTAGAACATCTGTACAAAAATGTGAACTACAGCTTAAAACTAGGGAAGTTTCTAGTATGCCGGTCCCCAGAATCACGCGATTGCGCATGAGCAGTTATTTCCCTTGCCGTTGCTATGCAGAATGTAAACAAACCGCCATTTTCCCCTCGCTTCAACAAGACGCATTCGATCGAGTGATTAGGGTTAGGGTATTTTGTCTTAAGATTGGAACTGTTTTATAAATCCACTCTTAAATCTTCCTGACTTAGGGCTAATTCATGTAATTTTTGCTTACAAAAGGCACTGCCAAGTGCCTTTTGTGACCAAAAACTTGCATGAATCAGCCTTATGTCAAACTGCACTGTGCCGATATACCATCTTAGAGGAGTAAAGCATGAAACATGCAAAACTTAAACAAACCGTTAATTAAATATGGCATTGTATGCGATCTACGGATTAGGGTTAGAGTATATATAGCTCAGATATTGTAACTATTTTATATTCACCCATGTTCGCATCTTATATCCGACTTTGGGCTTATTCATGCAATTTTTGCTTACAAAGAACCGGAAGAACAGGAAAGTTTTGCGAAACTTGGATGAATTAGCCTTGGTCTAATGTTGAAACATATGCGATATTGTACGCTAAGTTTTGGCAAGTAATTGGTATTATTATACTTTCATGTTAAATACTAATATCTGATTGGTTTACACGCATTTAACAATCCGTAATGTTACCCTCAGCGTTAGCAACACACTTAACAACGGGTAACATTTCGAAAATATCACATGCGTTCAAATCATGCGCGTACGGTTCACCGTAGAATTCTCAAAGCGTCAGTTGTGCGTTTGAAAGAAGCCGAATAAACGACGTCAATAAAAGCTTGCGTCCGATGTAGCTTACTTGAAAACAACAAACGACAGACGAAACATCCTTGCGAATGCAAACTTTAGACGATAAAGGACTTTTTGAGTAGCGAACAAACAATAAAAAGGTTGGTAAATCTTTTCCGAAGCTTTCTTATTGAGAAAAATAGAAGCGGGGAGTCTGAAAGCTTTCTAAGCGTGAACTCAACGATCTCCGAATTTTTCTTTTGACATCCGAAATCAATAAGACATTCAGTATAATAAAATAAATAGTACACGTTTTTGAGGGTAACAGTTGAAATTGACACCCCTCGGAAAACCATTGTCAACCTCCGCTGACGCGTCGGTTGACAATGGTTTTCCTTGGGGTGTCAATTTCAACTGTTACCCTCAAAAATGTGCACTATTTATATAAAAGCGACTTACCGTTTAATTAAGCTCGATATCCTAACCTCCTAATGTCCATATTCAGAATATTTTTTCTTTCAAATCAATGGTGATGCACAATTCAATCAACCAATTACTAGTAATTAGTTATCACTTGTTAAATCCCTGCATTTCTCACAAAAATCTCGCAATTTTAGTAGCATTTCACTTTGAGTCCTATCAGCTACTTCTTCATAAGTCTTCATTACGTCAAAACACAAGTGACGCACGTCATGAATATTTATGAGATTACGTCAAAAACTGATCATGTGACTACATTCCTAAACAACGCAAAATGGAGTTTTATCTACTAAACAAGTACGTTATTTTACGAAACCTTTTAATTCTCATTTAAAAAACTGTGTTTAAAAACCAGTTTTTTAAACCCAATTTTTCACAAGGAAAACGATTTTTGGCTCAAATTTGCGATTTGTGGCCTTTTTTATCGATTTTGTCGATCGCTCACGTGATCATATTATATTGTACACCGCCTTCGGTGGCACCCATTTTAGCGCCATATTTATAGGGACCGGTGTACTAGAAGTGTTCCTAAAACTACTCATTAGAACTAAAAAAAATTACAAAGTATTAAAAACAGTTTTTACATATTACACAGCAGATAGTGTAAATCCATTTGTCCTTCGGGAGTAATGAGTGGACATGCATCCAGTTAAAGATTAATTAATGAGTTCAGTGTGGGAAGCTGTTAAGGCATCTCTGATCAAGCAGTTCTTATCTACATCTCCTGGGAATTGGGCAGAAAGAAATTAAAAAAATCTCTGTTGTCTAAGTCTCTTAATTGTAATTTATGTCTGTCAAAATACATAGTTACTGGAACCAGCCTTTTATTTTTAAAATGAGTTTGATCATGTTGATATAAAGGTATTAAGATCACTTTGATTTTGTATAATTAATTATGATTTTTTTTTCAACAATCAATTTGCAGAGTATGTCTCACAAAGATGACAGATAGTTGCAAACTATTTTTTCAATGTAATAAAAAACACTGTAATTATTAGTATTGATGTTTTATTAGGTTATACCTTAGTTTCATTCATTAACAAAATATATAATGAGTAATTAAATTTTCACTCTAAATGTTTAGGCAAATTGTGAACACCTCTCACATCTAGAAAACATTAGTGATTTGGTACCATCTCTGAAAAACCCAGCGGGGGTTATTTGTCCCTTTTGGACAGTTCTAGTTTTTCATTCCCAACATTGTCTAATGAATGAGATATAAAACTTAAATAATTAGCATCATCTTCATCATTCTTTTTCAACATTATGGAAGAGGGGGTGATTTACAAAGAGAAGGCTTTTTTGGTGGTCATTTTGGGAGCAATTGATGTTGATTAATTTCAGAACCTATTAATTTCATGTTGATTAATTTCAGAACCTATGTGTCCAAAGTGTTGTACCTGGGTACAGAGGTACCAGAGAGACATGACTTGACCCTGTTTCCTACAGTCAACGACTTAAAGAATCAGATCCATCAGGCAATGGTAGACGTGGAGAATGGGACTCTTGCCGTTACCACTCCTCAGGTGGCACAGCAGTCAGCTTTCTTAACTGCTCTATCCTATACACAGATTTATGAAAAAAATAATAAGTTTGTCATTCTTTCCTCAACATGATGTCTCACTAGGTGTACAGATGTGTTTCCATCATTTAAATATTCCTGCATTGTAAATTAGTATTCTTTAAGAGGCAAATAATGTTCTGATAGAAAAAAATAGATGTAGAAAAAAGTATGTTTGCACAATGTCCACATCTGTGCAGCTGTTATCACATAATTTTCCATTCCTTGTCTTCATCTATTGACATTAGAATAATTGTGATTTCTGTGTTCGTGGCTTTTTATTTATCTCTGTTTATATTATGGACAGGTTAATGTGGAGATCGTTGGTCAGTCCTCAGCAAGCCAGACTACAGAGTTCTCTTCTGTAGTGGATGGTTCCGTGTGGTCATCTGATGGGGTGGAGCCTGTCCCTGAGACGGTCACTGTTACCCTAACTCAAAAACCAGGAGATGGTAGGTAGCAGGACAAATCATGTTACAACCATAATTAAACCAGGAGTTTATTTCATGAAACAGTCATAAACTAAAAGATCATGGTAAATAGAAGTACAATACATGTAACAGCCATAAACTATAAGATCATGATAGATAGAAGTACAATACATTTAACAGCCATAAACCAGGAGATGGTTGGTGCTGGGAAAAATATTTTCCTAAATATTTAGATGAAACAAACTTAGTAATGGAATTGTATTTTATATATTGACATTTGATGAGTAAGCAAATACAAAAAAAAAAGTGAAATTATCATAGCCAAACCTCTCCATATAAAATTGTTAATATAATCATTCTTTTAACAGATGGACATCATGTGATATCCCGCATTGAGACACACTTGAGTGATGGTTCTACACGGATTAGCACACATCTAACTCCAGAGACAGCCCAGCTATTGTCTCGACTTCATCCCAACATGTTCCCTGCAGGATGTCTTTTACCTGTATGTAAACATCTAATATATAGTTTTCTTGACATAATTTGTCATTTTATGTTATTTTCGGTTTTTGATTTGTGACAGAACATTTTACTGATACAGCTATTCCATAAAAATATATGGGGGCAGGAGAATTTCTCTTTTTTAAAAATCTCCATTTATAGAATTAATATAAATGAATAAATTCCACTACTTAGAGACTTCATGCTTAGAACTTGAAGTGTTTATTAATCTTGAATCCCCCAAGCATGGTTTTATTGTTATCGGTTTGAATTTGACCTTGTTCAGGGCCATGTCACACATTGTGATAATAACCAATCTTAAGCCAAACATGTTCTAATATTTTTCTGTTGCAAAGGTATGATCCACACAAAAATTTTACAAATCCAAAACCAGTGACCCCAACCTTTAAATGACCTTGGATCATGGTTTTGTCACCCCCACCCCCCACCCCACCCCCCGATCATAAAACAATAGTGTTAATTTTTAATGGTTCAGAATTGCAAAGTAATGGTCTAGACAAAAATTTGAGAATTTAAAAATCTGTTTACCCTTAATACTTTTTTCATATGATTGGGGGTCAGGACACACCCTGAAAAAAACCTCCATGATATTTACATTTAAAAGTTATGAGTAGAAATAAAATACATGGATATACATTCAGGATGGATAATCTTTAAATGCTAAATGGTTTGCAGGGCATGATTTTGTCTCGTTCCTTTAATAAGCCAATGATCATGCACAACAATCATGATGACTGTAGCCATTTTCAATAGTCAAAAAATAGCACTTAAAGGCTAATGTTTTTTATTAACAAAATCTGACTTTATTTATGAAAAAGATTATCTTTTATATCTATCTAGATTATCTTATCTTATGACATTGTATGAGATTGTACTTAACCAATTTTGCCATTTTTAGCTCTACTGGTCAGAGACCAGAAGAGTTTATGCGATAGTAAGGTGTCTGTCATTCATCTGTCTGTCAAATCTGTTTGTCTGTAAATACTTTAAAAACTCTACTCCTCTTACAGCTTTGGTCCAATTTCAATATAACTCGGTACACAATTAGACTACACTAAGATACTTCTACTTTTCATCTTCTAAAATATCACTGGGCTAATTTTAACCAAACTTGCCACAAAACATCCTTAGGGGAAGAGGATTCAAGTTTGTTCAACAGTTCAAGTAAAGGCTTTTGAAAATTGAAATTCAAACTGAAGTGAATCTTTTAAAAATCTTTTTCTCAGGAACCACTTGGCCAGAAAAGAAGAAACTTATGTGAAAGCTTCATTATGTGCAGATTCAGATTTGTTTAAACCACCCCTGGGGGTAGGGTGAGGCTACAATAGGAAATCAAAGTTTTATCTAGGAATATATAGGAAGAAATCTTTTTAAAGAGTTGCAAACCACACTTAATCATATTGATAAGCAAATGATCGGAAGTTGTGTAAATCAGATGTTTTTAAAATTATGAGCCCTGAGATTAGGATTGGGCCTAAATCAGAGATCCAAATTTTATATAATGCATGGGGGTACTGGAGAAAAAAAATCTTTTCCAGAACAGAAGGGCCATGTTGATCATATTGATGTTGAAACATCCCATTGTTGTGTGGCCTGAACTTTGATCAAACATAACTTCCTTAGGCCTAGATTTTGGTCCACAATTAATAAGTAGGTCAAAATTTTTATGAAATTAACAGGGAAATTAAAAAAAAAGTCATCCAATGAAGAGCAGCAGGGTCATAGTGATTCAGATGAGTGTTGTGGCCCATGGGCCTCTTGTTTTTGTCTCTAAGTGTTCAAATGTATGTATGTGCTATTTATGCCGACTTCATATTTTGTTCCAGTCTAGTGATCCAAATGAATCTCAGCAGTCCCTGATAGAGTCTAAAACAGACGACTTCCCCTTGAAGGAGGATTCTTCTGACACTCTGTGTATCAGTGCAATCCCGCCCTCCTCCACTCAGAGCCCCCCAATGTTGGACAGTGCGGAGACACATGACATAGAATCTCTGGCTGTGATCGTTAACAGTGACGAGTGTGGTAGTCAGACAATGATGGTGTCTATAGACAATGGTAACCTTGACAACGCATCAGATCCCCCATCCATTGTCCATCACGCAGAGGAAGAAGATACCTCTATAGAAAACCAGCTTAACTGTGTTGGTGTTTCCATGGCAGCAGACTCAGAAATCATTCTCAGTGATACACCTGTGTCAGAATTTCAACCTATTACAGATTCCTAGTGCAATATTTTTATTTATTTATTTATTTGTTATGTTACTGAGCTTTTCATTTTGATAGATGGATTTATTTATATATGTTGAACTTTGCCTTTTAGTTTGTTTTTGGGATCTCTTGTGAGAGGCAGAGATATGGTCAGTAGTGTGAATCAGTCCAACTATTTTTTTTTAATTTTCTCTCTAAACATACCAATTTGTCAGCTTGAAACATTTTCACAAATTCAGTTAATGTTGATCTAGATAATCAATTCTTAGCTTGTTTTGCATATCTTTATGACCAGAGAGTTCGAAAAATTCAAATAATGATATTTTTGTATAAGGTACAAGACTGATTTTGAAGTTTAATGTCTCAAGTACATGTGCATCAGAAATTTACACTTTAACAGTATCATTGAAAACTACCAGGTATGCATTTATGATTTCTTGATAATTTTGACAGAACTTGCAATATGCAAGTTTCGAGATTGTAACTCTCCAACGATAGAGGTGCAAAAAGTATCCATATCAGCATGCAGTGGGACAGGTTGTTGAACACAAACGTGCATAAATAAATATTTACATTTCCAATGTCTTTGTCCGAGATAAAATTACAAATTGTAAAAATACTTTATTTCTACATAAATCTACTGGTTCATCGATAGGCGCGGTTAAAAAAAAATCACGTGCGGGGCGGGACAAATAGAGACAGAAGCGGGGCTATTAGCACGGGAATTTGCAGAATCAGGAGCATGTAAATATAAAGAATAACTGTCAGATTTTTTGGATTCATGACGATGATCAATCGATTGGCTTGCGTGATAATTTTATGCATAAACGCCTTCGGCGTTTATGCAAATTATCATGCAAGCCACTCGATTGATCACATCATGAATCCAAAAAATTAGACAGTTATTCCTTAAATGAACAATGGCTTGGGCTTTTAAAATTCATTCACTCCTCCATGGCACATGATCCCACCTCTGATGTTTGCTCTGCTCCAAAATTTGTATTATTTAATGGACTTTTGAGCTTGAATACTGTTCGTTATCTCCATACATTTCATTCAATTTTGTAGAAAGATGATAATGTCAAGCATTGATGATTTTGATTAATTTTATTGAGCTCTACTATAGATAATTGAAATCATTTTTTGTGAAAGAGATGCTTCCCTGGTTGTACAAACCTTTTATAAAAAGAGTGCTCTTAGAAATTACACGTACAGTATATAATGAGGGAAAGAATTGGTGTGTCATTTGGGATGCCAATGTGCAATGAACAGATGCGTGTGTATTTATTAGAGATCCATTTCTTTTCCCTCGTGTGATAAGTCTTATCCACTGACATTTTCTTTTGTTCCATTTTTTTTGTAGAAAAAAATTGATGCTTTTACTTAAATTTGATAATTTTCGAGTTGAAAAATGCATCCCAATAATCAGCTATGACAGACCACATATCAATAATGATATCATAATGTCCCACCTGCCTGTTTAGGTGGAAACAAAACTAACCTCTATAAGGAAAGAGGGCACCAAGGGAGATAATCTTGAAAATTGTGCATTGTTAATTCCCATGAACATGACCTCCATTAATTTGGTCATCACTAAATTCCCAAATAGGATATCTATCAGTGTTTATACTGATCTACACGGGGCACAGGGCTGTGAACTGTGTAGCCATTTCTGATAGCCATGTTATTTTATTTTGGCAAACAATCAGCAAACTGTATGTTTCTACTTATTTCATACAGCTCTATTCTTTTTTATATTTGGGCAGCAAACCAGTGCATTTTATAAGATGATATCTTAGAGAGAAATAAAGACTTTTTATGGATTCTAGGTTTAATTCACAGCTGTCTCCTTGTACTTTCCTTCATGTAAACTTCACTTTTAAGTAGATTTACTCTGCTGTTTGTTCCAAATAATTGTATTTCATGTGAACCATTAAAGTCATTTGACGTACTCTTTATTGTGTCTGTTCCCTGGGTTTCCATTATACTTATAGTAAAAGCACAGGTATGTAATTATCTATCTGTTACATTGATGCTAATTCTCCATTTGTTGTAAACATTTTAGAAGAAAATTGCATGTGCTGTGCAAATGATCCACATGAATTTGTTAGGGCATATAACTAAAGATTAATGTTACAATAGCATATATAGTGCATGAATAAGTAATGTTTATATGTTTTACAAAGAACAGTGTAAAAATATTAATGCAAAATTTTAATTTAGGCCAAACAAAAAAATATGTGTGGTTCCGGTTACACCTCCAAAAAAATTAGGATAGGTAGGTAGGGATTTTTTTTTTTTTTTTTTTTTGACAAAATGATTTTCTTAATTTTCTAAATAATACCTATTACTGCTTTGCAAATGACATTTAGATGTGGTGTGATAATATACATTGTACTAGTCAATATTGGTAGGGGACATGGTCACACATACGTGCTAGCTTGCTTTGGATTTAACACTATTAAACACTTGCACTATGTTGTGCAAGGAGGCCATCATTGCTAAAACTTAAACAAGAGCCATTGATGGAAATTGGGGAAAATTCCGGAAAAAATATGAAAATTGCCCAAAAAAAGTTTAGGGTCGGGGGTATAAAAATCGGGTAACCGGAACCACACCTATTTTTTTATTTGGCCTTATTACAATTTGATCAAGTTTGTAGGGTTCTTGTCACCTTAAATTTTTTCTTCAAGGTAGATGCAGGAACCTACTCTAGCTACATGATCATGGGAGGGAGCTTGTCAATTGTTGCAATTTTAGTTCTTCATGGTTAAATTTTTTGAAAATATCGATAAAAATAAAAATTCCTGCAGCCTGTTTCATGGAGTATGTGATTGAATTAAAAAAGCTGAATGGAATTTTTTTTAAGGATACATAACACAAACAAAAAAAACTGATGCATGGATTGATAACTGATTTTGAATAAAAATGACTTAAATAATAAATGCCTAAATATTAAGAAATCATTAGTTTTCTTTGATGCTGAAATATGTGACTGTGCCATTTTATATGTAAATCCATTCAAAATTTTGCACATATTTTTTAACATTATCATATAATCTTACAAAATTTTTACAATTACCTTGGCAAACGTTATTCAGATTACCTATATCAATATTAATCTATGTGATGCATTGGTGATTTCTGAAAAAAGAAATTTTTGTTATTTATCCTTATATACTAAAGTGATCGTCTTTGGAATTCAGAAGAAATCCAAATATTTGTTCACTGCTATCAATAATGATGTCGGTACATTGTGGTGCATATATGTGCTGCTTAACTTTCATAGGAAGATGTACGGAAGTTGTGAAAGAGTGTTTGACAGTAGCGATAATAGCCAAGCAATTCAAAGTTGACAAATTGTCTTTATGCTACTGAATGATGTATAAGAATATCATTACATTGTTGACCACATTGAACTGAGCTTAAGGTTCCTTGACCCACTGATAAGAGAGATAACTGTCACTGTTTTTTCCTATTTTGATAACCATTTCTGTTAAATATTGCCTGGCAAGGTATGCTGAAAGTTTAAATATCAATTGGATTTCTCCTGGAAAATCATCAGTATATACAAAAATTAAGGGTTACAACATCTACAGTTAATGACTTTAGAGTCCTTGTCATTTAGATCTGCCATTATCAAATACTAGTATAGAGATGACAAACATTTTAATATGTAAATGAGAGAGACCCAGTTTCACAACTGAGTTACCATGATTTATTATTAGTGATAATTAAATACTCAATAGGTAACTGCTCCACAAATGCTTCTTCAACAGATGTATGGCTAGTGGAGGAGATGCGTGGCTCGTATACAGTTGAAAAGATGCATGGTTTGTAGATAGTTGAAGAGATGCATAGCTGGTAGACGTTTTGAAGCGATGCGTGGTTTGTAGACAGTTGAAAAAAAGTGTTACTAAGCTTGTAGACAGTTGAAGATACGTATTACTAAGCTTGTAGAGATGCGTGGGTTATTCGAAAGTTGAAGAGATGCGGGGTTTTTTTTCTTGTAGACAATTGAAGACATACGAAGTTAATATGAAATTTTAAGAAAGTCAGTTGAAATTAAAAAGGTGAGTGGCGTGCATGTTGGTTGAAAAGCGGCTTGGAAGTGGCGGACTGTCCGCTGGTGTTTTTTTGTAAGAAGTTGTACACAAAAACACTGTGTTTACTTCTGTAGAAAAATTATAATGGAAATACATGTACTTTAAAACCAACCAATCAATAGCTGTATCTGTAAGTCAAAGTTCTAAGCACATTCAGCACATTTTAAAGAAAAAATAACATTTTACTTACATGTATACGCATGACTTGAGTCTCGTTGATGGACACTATGATTCTTGTATGTAGTTGACGGAACTCAATTGCCAGTCTACTGTATAGCAGTTTATTGATTCCGTCATACTTGTATCTTCTTTTACCCGTACTAACCAAATTATGCCTAGTATAAAATCAGAAGTTAAAATACTTACGTCATCTCGAATCTTTTATGGACCGCACATTTGTTCCTATTTAATTGTCTGTGATTGTGAAAACTTAATAAATTCTAGTTTATGTCGTACTAATTTAATGAAGAGAAATAATATTCTGGTAGAAAAACACTTGCCTTTTTTTATTTGCCCGGTTGCCTGCATTTTTTCGATGTTTGATCATTTTGTATCTGGACATAGCCATTGGATATCTTGATATATTAAAACCATGATGAACCAACCTATAATGATACATCAACCTGTAGCGATATACACCGACTTTCTTGATACAGTTTATAATGATACATTAATCCAGTATATTTTTATACTAAGCTTTATTGATACATCAAACTTTATTTATTGATAAACGTATCTATATGATACATCAAATAACGTAAATATAGTTATTAATGAGGACCTTAATTACGTCAGGCGATGGGCCAGACATGAAAAAGAAGATCTTGACACTTTGTCAGAATGGATTAAATGTATCAGATGTATGTTAAAATCTCGCATTAAGCGATTGAGGGGCAAAATGAAAACCGTCTATCCTTCTGTGTTCAATAATTCAGAAGTGAAAAAAGAATTAGATTACACGATCAGTATGTACTGGTCCCAGCTGACAAAGCAGGTAACAACATTGTCTTAGTATGTAAGGCTCATTATTTCAATTGTATTTTAGAGGAACTGGGATTTAATTCTACAAGGGGTAATCCAACTTACACCAATAGCTCCCTTTCGAAGGAGAAATTTCTTCAAGATCATATGTCAGTTTTGAATAATTTTAATATTTCCGACAACCAAAATGAATTTGAATTACCATATCTATATTGGATTCCGAAACTTCATAAAAATCCTTACAAACAAAGGTACATAGCGGGTGCGAGTAAATGTCTACCAAGCCTCTTTCTTTACTCCTCACTAAAATATTAACAGCAGTGAAGGAGAAACTTCAGAGGTACTGTGCAACAATACCGGTATATTCGATAAGTGGTGTAAATCAGATGTGGATACTTAAAAATTCAACTTGAAGGAACTTTTGGAAAATTTGAAATCGCAATATTTTACCAAAATCAAAAACGAAATAACTTACGACGTCTCTACTCTATATACATGTACAACCATTCCCCACAATAGGCTTTGCAGGCTTTTTGACATTATTGACAGCTGCTTTTTCAATAAAAATGGTACTCGTAAATTTACTTACCTTGTAATTGGTCATTTGTAAAATTATTTTGTTAAAAAACATTCTGATTGTACACACAAGTACTCTGAAGTTGATAGTAAAAAGATGCTTGAGTTCTGATTGACAATATCTAAGTGTTTTTTGGAGACCAGGTCTTCTAACAATCAGTTGGAATTCCCATGGGTACCAATTGCGCCCCGTTATTAGGAGACTTATTTTTGTATTCATATGAAGCAGAATTTATTCAAAATCTTATACACGAGAAGAAGAAAACACTTGCTGTTTTCTTCAACTCGACGTTTAGATATATTGACGACGTATTTTGAATTAACAAAAGCTATTTCCATTCATATGTCGACGCAATATATCCCAGTGAGCTTGAAATTAAAGATACCACAAAGTCCGACACATCTGTTTCATACTTGGATATTTTACTAGAAAATGATGATAATAGTAACCTAACAACATAGCTTTATGATAAACATGATGACTTTAACGTGATAAGTGTATCAATAAGTTCATGAAATATATGGAGAAAACAAACAGTTTTCAAGCTCAGAAGTCCATTCAAACAATACAAATCAGGAGCAGAGCAAACACGGACCTCTAAAACATCATAGGCAGGATCATGTACAATGGAAGAGTGAGCATCCCCTGCTGACCGGTCACGCCCGCCGTGTGCTCCTTGTCATGATCGGGAAATAACGGAAATTTAATACTGATATCCAATAATAAATTTGTGATTTACAAGATCCTTTCAACATGAACCTTAAAACACATAACATCCCAACCTTCTGATATGAACCTTAAAAAACAAGACATAACAAGAACTCAACCTTCTGATATGAACCTAAAAAGACAACACGTAACAAGATTCTAACCTTCTTATATGAACCTTAAAAGACAAGGCATAACAAAATCCTAACCTTCTGTTATGAACCTAAAAAGACAAGACATAACAAGATCCCAATCTTCTGAGATGAGCCTTAAAAGACAACACATAACAAGATCCTAACCTTCTGATATGAACCTTTAAAGAAAACACATAACAAGATCCTAACCTTCTGATATGAACCTTTAATGAAAACACATAACAAGATCCTAACCTTCTGATATGAACCTTTAATGAAAACACATAACAAGATCCTAACCTTCTGATTTGAACCTTTAAAGAAAACACATAACAAGATCCTAACCTTCTGATATGAACCTTTAAAGAAAACACATAACAAGATCCTAACCTTCTGATATGAACCTTTAATGAAAACACATAACAAGATCCTAACCTTCTGATATGAA